CCTCTTTTAATTCCACTTTCCCCTTTTCCATTCACAAGAACCTCTAGACTAAATGGCCTCCAGGGCTTGCCTTCTGCCACCCTCTGAACCAACCTCTTGGTCCACTGCTGTCCTTGCTGCTTTAGATGAGCTTCATCTCTTGGGTTTCGATGTGGAGCAGAAATGGCTGACTGGTTAAATTCAAGATTTTGAGGTCCTGCTCTATCCTCTCCCTGAGGATATCTGCTCCTTAGCTGGGCTCGTGGAGTGGTGGGGACCTGGTGCCATCCCCTGCCCCACAGCAGACACCCGGGGTTTACAAAGGCCCACCACCACCACCACCACCACCACCCTGCTCCTGGCCAAGGGCTGAGCTTGTCCTTCATGATCCCTAACTTCCCCTGGTTTCCAGTCTATGGAGGCACAAGACTCTCTAGGCAACTGGCCCCTTCCCAGTCACACAGGGAAAAGCTTCAGGCTGAGTAGGGCTCGGGCTACCGCTGACACTCACGTAAATGAGGTGTTCCCGGTAGCGGATGAGCAGGTTGCGCAGGATGCCGGCCTCATTGAGATCCCCCAGGCGGATCATATCTTCCACGCCGTGGACTGAGGTAGGGTGCATGGGCTTGATGTGTGTGGCGTGGTGCGGGGAGATCCAGTGCTCCTGGGGAGACCCCGCTGTCAGTTCTAAAAGGTGACCGTTGGGATACCACCGCCCATGTCAAGGTGGCAGGCGACTCTGGGCTCACCCGGTGGTGTCAGTAAGGTGCTCAGACCACACCCCAGGGGCTTTGCAAGGTTATAAAGTGCAAAGCTGGAGTCAGACGCGATTCCAGCTGGAGAAATACTTAAAAAGGAATTTCAGAGGTCAAGCATAAGCACACAGCCGTGTTGATGGAGACCCACAGAGTGCGCTATTTAGGTAAGTGCCCGAAGACCCCCATCACCGGGAAGGTGTTGTTTGATCTGCGCCCCAAATGAGGAGACAGAAACCCCATAAGAGGTGGGACAACAAGAACGGCAACTTCAAGTAGGGGTGGTGTGCCAGAGGGAAAGCACCAGGGGACGTCGACCTCCGGGACGCACATCACAGGGCTCCCTGCCCATGTATGAAAAAAGGGCAGAGCTGTCACAGGTTGAGGGGACCAGATGCGGGTGACCTTCTGCTCCCTCTTTTCTCCCCTGCAATATTTCCTGTGGCCACCAGGTGGCAGGTGGGCGCATCCTCCAGCTGGAGGGCCCTAGGTTTCTCCAACCTCAGAGCCACTCCCCACTCCGCCCCCCAACCCGGGGTCTCCAGCGTCATCTCATCCGGACTCTTCAAAGAGAGTCTGACCTGCGCTCCAGAATCCCCACAACCGTCCCATTCTCAAACGCCAGGACCTGGGAGCCTGGAGCCAGATAGGCCCTGACATCTGCAGCTAGGGGGCCACCCGGCCACCTCCCAGCTCAAGACCTTCTCCTTTAGGAGCAGAGGTGACGCATTTTTCGGGTACACGTTGCTTTCTCCAGCACCATCGGCCCCGACAGCTGGACTTCAGCAGAAATCTGGGTATCAGCCCCCTGCCTGTCCAACTGCCTGCTCGCTCAGCACCAAGAGGTGGTGGCTACACCCAGTCTAGAGCCCATCTCCCTCCGGGTCATCCCCAGCCTCTTGGAGAAGGGTGGTGGCCAGGCCAGGGCACTCACATGGAAGGGACCAGGGTAGCGTCAGCCAGGGCTGCCACTCAAGCTCCATGACATTCTCTGGCCAGGAGATTCCATCCACATCAGCCCTAGGGCCAGGGGGTGAGGCCAGCAACCTTCCCAGGCTTTCCAGCCCTGAGTGGAACATTCCTTGCTCCCAGGCACACTATTTCTTGATAAAAGCTGATCCACTTGGAAAATTCCCCCTACCTGTCCTCACTGGGCCCAGGCATAGGTGGGGGAAGGGCACCTCCCAGGCTGGTTCCGAGGCAGCAGAGCTCTCACAAGCCCAGAGACCTGTGTGGTCACCTGACCTCGAGCCTGCGTGACCTCCACTGTAAAGGGGACCAAGACCAATGTCTTCTTCTGCAGGTCCTGGGAGGACTCAGAACAGCCAGCCCATCTGGACGCCTTCTCCTAAGGTCTGCCCTGCGCTGGGGCCAGGAAATGCTCAACCAGTGCTAGGGATGAGGTATCTGACTCGTTGGGGTCTATAAAGATGACATATGCTCTCACTCGTCCCTCATAATGTTCAGTCACAGAATTACAGACCTCGCTTAGTGGTGACAAGTCAGACTCACGAGGTGAAATGATAGAGCCAGCCACTGCCTCCTCCTAGCTGAGAGCAGGAGCCGTGGGCCAAGGTCCACGGCACTTTGGCTCAGCTTGGGGCAAAGTGTAACCAGGGCAGGAGCCAGGACATGCCCTGAAAGAATGTCAGCAACCCTGAGGGAGAGAGGGAAAGACAGGGGAAAGGACAGGAGGAGAGGGAGAGGAGTAAGAGCCAGAGCCAGAATGAGAGAGAGAGAGAGAGAGAGAGAGAGAGAGAGAGAGAGAGAGAGAGAGA